TTGACTTTGAATAGTTCTTGCATATTAAACTAGTTTCAGCAAAAGAGATTTGTTGACTTGTGTAACTGGAAAATGAAAGGGAGGTGTTACCTTCAGGCCTGGCTGGAGCGAAGGATTTCAAATAATGTCAGGCTTGTTTCTCTCTTCATAGTTTTATTCAGCTCTTGGCTTGGCTTCACGCTCTAGGCCACCTTTCTCCTCCTCATGAGCAAGGTGGCCACCAGCAGTTCCTGTCTCATATTCTCCTGATTTAAGAGCTGCACAGAGGAGTCTTATCTTCTTCAAATTTTCAAATTTGCAAATGTAATATTGGTGTGATTGGTCATTAGTGTCCATGGTTGACTCATGTCCCCCACCCCCAGTCATTTCCACCTCAGGTGGCACTTCAGAATGTGACCTCTTTGGGAATACAGTCTTTGCAGATGTTAAGAAGGTAAGGGTCTTGAGAGGAGATCATCCTGGAGTTAGGGTGGCGCACTAAATCTAATGACTGATGTCTCTGTGGGAAGAAGGGAGGACACGTAGAAACACAGAAACAATGTTGACACCGAGCAGACAGAGGCAGAGATGGGAATGATGCATCTAGAAACCCAGGGGCTCCTTTGTGTGGGAGCTCATTAGTGGTTTGGTCCTGGGATTTGGAGCCAGTCCAGCCTGATGCTCAGAGTCACCACCTACAATCTCTTAGGAATGACATAAGCAAAAAAGTGTCACAGGTGCACAGAAGTGGGATATCTCACCAAGCCTGGTTCAGATGCACGCAGGACTTGCCAGAGTGGGTGATTTTTTGCTCTGTGTTATTTTGCCCTGCAAGTTAGAGCCTGGCCCACATTTCTGTACATGCTGGTCCAACTTGCAACTGACAGCATCTGGAACCTTTTGGCTTGAGGCTTTTTCTGGGCCCATAGGAGCATATGCAGGAGGCTGATAATTCCAGAGAACTAATCAGGCTCAGGACAGCTCTCAACCAATGACTAGCTAGAGTTCGTGCATAAAGGGCCCAGCAATGGCATGCCTCAGCTGAGAACACTCTGAGATATGTGTTCTATAGCCTCCCCCCATTTATCAGAGGGACCCCACTCCATTTACCCCTATTTGTAACTGGTTTGTTAATGTGTCATTTATTGCTTTCCTTCCCTTCCTCATCTCTCTTGTCTACTCCCCAACCACTGCCTCCTGAGTTGACCTCCCAAAGAAATTACATGCATTTGAATCCTTGTCTCAGGCTATCCTTCCAAGGGACCCTCAAATTTAGCAGCATCTTACACAGAAAGAACAGCATGTGTGAGGGCTGGGAATATAATCATGAACATCTCACAACAAATTTAAAGATTGTCCAAATTATTTGAGAACCTGCTGGCTGTCTATGGTCTAATGGGTGAAGAATTATCTGGGGCTTAGAAATAAATGGGTACTATGTTTTAATGGCCCTTGGTTTTTTGGGGGGGAATTGTAATTCAGATGATAATAGGTGTTGTTAATTCTTTCTGGAGCCCTCAGACCTACTCAGTGCCTGGCACAAGGTGATGTTCCATAAGTATTTTTGAATTAATAAACTTGTTTATTGAATTGAAATTAGTATATTAAAAGTGTCTAGTTTTGGGGGTGAGGAGTGGTGGGTGGAGGTGGAAGAAAGCATAAGGGTGATACATGGTAATGGAAAAAATGCAATAAAAACCCAAAGTGTCCAGTGTTTACTATATAATGTACATCTGATAAATGTTTTCTTGAACAGAACTGAAGGACACCATACAAAGTGGAAGAAAAGCCTTTATTGAACAGGCATTCTGCCACCTGGTGGTAATTTGGTGGAGGGGGACTTTGCAGGCAGTGGTTTTGTACTCTTGAATTTGCAAGACTTTGATTTTAGTTCAAGGTTATAAGTTATTTATAAAAGAAAAACAACGGAAATAGCTAAAATGTCCATAAACAGGAATAATAAACTGAATGAGGCAATATCCTTTTCATAGGACACTATGTAGTGATTAAAATAAATTAAGTTGATCTATATTCATTGATACAGAAATTTCTCCAAGCCCCCTTGTTTAGTGATACACTGGAAATCACAAAAAATACATACAGAATCATGTCATTGTGTTAAAAACATCCCCCCTCAATACACCCATATCTTTGGTTGTTTGAGAGGCAGTCTCAGTGATGAGATGGTTTTTATGTCCCTTCCAGTCCTGAGATTCTATAATCATAAGAAATTAGTTATAGTTCATTTAAAAAATATACTGCTTTGAACCATACAAGAAAACCATAAAACTTGATGGAGAGACATAAAAGAAGACCCAGATAAATGGAGACACATGTCAGTCCCCTGGATTGATAGATTCAATATTGCAAAGATATAAATTTCCTCAGAATTCATCTAAGTTTCAAGAACAACAGCAATACAAAAAATCAAAGTCCAGATACATTTTTGGTGGGGAGGACTTAAAAAATACTTCTAAAGTTTCTTCTCAAAGGTCAAATGTGTAAGAAGAACTAGAAAATATTTGAAAGTAAAATCAATACCATAAAGTTAGAACAATTCGAATCATGTACTAGTGCCTGGACAGACAAAAGAATGAAAGAGGAAGTCCAGAAAGAGATGTGGGTATTCAAGAGAATTTATATATAACAAAAGTTACACTTCCAGTGAGTCAGGGAAGTTTGGGTCATTCAACACACTGCTGGGACAGCAGTCACCTGGGTGCCCCCGCCCCCATGGGAAGGGCACATGCATGTGTATTTTGTAAAAGTTCCATTGGCCTGATCATTCAGGAAATATTTTAGGTTATATTTTTCTGTCCTTCCTTACACTAAAATAAATTCCTGGTAGAGTAAAGATTTAAGAAAGGACAAAGTGATTGACTACTAGAAGAAAAATTGCTAAATGTATAATCTTGGGATTGAGACTGAATATAAATATGATGTCAACAATAGAAACCACAATGAAAAGTTGGATAGATTTGTCTATATAAAAATTTAAAAAATTATGCATAGATGTATACATGAATTAACAAAGTTGAAAGATAAACATGAAGCTACATAAACAGGCAATTACTGAATATATAACATACTTTTACAGATCAATATAATAACAAATATTTTATAGAAGAAAATGGGTTAAAGGCATGAATGGGCAATTTGTTAAAGAACTCTAACATATAAGCATAAAAAAGTGTTCACATCATCATTAGGAATTCAAGGAATGTACATTAAAGTGCCAGTAAGAAACATGTCATCCAGCTAAAGTTTTCAATATTTGCAATAATTTTAATCTTGCATTTCAAGAGGGTTACTTATCAGAAGGTTAACAGTGGTTAACAGTGGTTAACCTTCTGGTGTGTGCTTTTGGTGTAACCTTTTGGTGTATCCAACCAACTGAGCCACTGGGCCAGGGCCGTTTTCTCTTCTTTTGTGCTTCTCTTTGGTATTAATATTTTACTTGTACAATGAAGAAAAGCACTGAATATTCGATGAGTGATCAATTGGACTCTTCGGAGAGCTCATATCTGGTGAGTGAGCAACACTGCATTCTGATGCAGACTCTGGCCCACAGCATCCGCGGCCTTGTGGATGAGATACGAGACAAATTCACAGGGACTACAGAGTCCTGTGGAGTAAAAGGGATGGCGCGACTTCTCTCTCAAGGGGAGAGCAAGCCTCAGAGTGCCTCCACCACTCAAGAGGAGAGTGCCCTGACTCTTGCCTTGAGAAGCTTTTATTGGATTCAATTTGCATAGGAATACAGGGTGTATATGTAAAGCTCATTAGTCATTATCAGGCAGTAAGGATCAAACAATATATAACATACAAAGAACTCTGAGGGCCTATTTTGAGTCAGGGTCAGATAGCTAAAGGGCCATAAAACTTTGAGGAACAAACTCACTTCCTGCTTGGACCCTTATCATTTAATTGAGAGCCTTATAAAGAAAGCAGGTTCCACAGGATTTTACATATTCTTTCTTAGGCCTGATCACCATAAGGAACCCGCCCTTTCCAGCACTGGGCAGCACCCACCACCAGCATTGTTTCAGGCTTAAGGCATTGTTTCAGGCTTAAGTCAGTAGGGGAAGTAAGGCAGCCAAGAGATTAGGAGATTTCTCAGAAGACAGAATGAGGACTCAGGCTATATCAAAGCCAAGGGGCAAGGGCCCCCAAATCCTTCTCTGGGGGTCCCTGTTATCCTGCCTGTCTTAGATCATCCCTCCCTTGAGGAATCTTACCCGTCACTGGCTAGCAGATCAAGCATTCGGGGCCAGGCAGGGTGAAGTAAAAAGAGCAGGGGCAGCACCCCTGCCAGGGAGATAAGCTTTGTCTCCTTAGTGGCTTATGGTCAGAAGGTCACTCACTCAGCCTTAGCCATGGGGGTGTTATGGCTCCCGAAACCAGGCAGGGCAGTTCCCAATAACGTTCAAGCTGTGGCCTTTCCCTGGGGCCCAGCCTGGAACTAGATGAGCCATACCAAATCTTCCTGGTGGCCTACAATTGACCCAGGCACTGCATCTGGGTGGCTGCTGTTTAACAAAAAGAATAAGGTGGAAGCAGGGAAAACAGCAAGCTAGTGGTGGTGACTTATAAAAATCCAGGTGGTAACTTGTAAAAATTACATGGTGGATCTTGGTGTGACCACTCTCTCCAAGAAAAAAACATTAAATGGCATGTCTGTTTATGTTATTCGGGAAGAAGCCCTGGGGTGACAGAACAAGAAAATAAAGGAAGTCAAGCATGTGGATGAAGCAAATGCAGAATGTGCACATGAAGATGCGGCAAGTTTCTCCGTTGGGGTGATTTCAGATTCAGAACCAGTCATTTCCAACATTTGGACCAGTCATGCCTGGCATATTTTCAAAAAAAATAAAAGGGCACTTCAGTCACAGTACCACCCACCCGTGGCAGCCTGCCAAGTATGTGACCTGCATCCAATCCTGTGACCATCTCACCTGGCTGTCGGCCTGAATCGAGATCAGCAGAGAGTCACCTTGGCTGTTGAGCCCCTGTGTACACCTGGCTCTAAAACAGGTCATGCCTCATAATTCTTCAGAATTAATCCCTCCTTTAATTCAGTATTTAGGCTCTAGAACTTCTTCATGGAGGCAGCATGCATGAAAGTGTTTCTGTATCAAAGCAGCTTCCACTTCTGGGGAAAATGGAGTTGCCCCAGGTTGGGTTGCCTGGAAATAGCCTCAGAGGTAAGTCTTTGCTGGAGGGTTGTTGAGGTGGGGGGCCTGTCCTCTAGGACAACTCCGACAGGGGAGTAAAGGAAAGAGTGCTGGGTATTGGCAGAAGGGGGGCTTCTCAGCCAATCCATGGAGAGTTCTGGAGCTGGGATTTCCCTGTACCTCCCCCCACCAGGTTAACTGGTCATTGGATGCATGCTGCCTCTGGGGAGAACCATATTTTTGGATGAGGCAGGTGTCTTTAGCCAAGGGAAATCTCCAGGGAAGAAGCAGCTGAATTGCCCTTGAGTGACTGTAGAGGGAGGGAAGTGGGCTTGCTGAAATGATTTATTGTGTGAAGCCAGGAGACCAGACGTGGGGTTATGTTCCACAGGAGGATAAAGGGAAAGACCATATAGAGGCAATGGTGAGAAGAGTACCAGCATCACTAAGAAGTTCAGGGGCAGCTATCCTCTGTAGGCCATGATGGGAAGGGAAGCGGTCACAGAATGGGCTTGATAATATCTGGGAGTCATAGAAGTGGTAGAAGCCAGGTAGTGGCTATAACTACCAGAAGTCTGGAGGTTGGAGGCTATCATCATTACTGTAACACCTGGCAAGGTCAAAAGGTCAGGGCAGCCTAGGGGGCTTGATCTTCAGGGAGTTGTGAAGGTGTTTAATAGTACAAGGTGTCCCTAGGGGAGAAATAGATGGGTAGCCAACAGGGTGCTATTAACATCTACAGCCAGAAGAAGGCAAGCATGCAGGAGTGGGTGTCTGAGGGTGGTTGCCTCAATAAAAATTCACACTCCTTGCTTAGTTCTCAGATCTGAGTCAATTTCAGACCCAGACCACAGACAGTCCACCAACTTAGCAGGTGGCTGGGGTCCCTAGGAAGAAGGCTGCAGGGACAGTGAAACAAGTATTTACTGTAATGATTATTCTGTGACCTATGATCATTTTCTCAGCTAACTAAGTGTAGGGGAAGGAGAAATACACAGACATTGCATAGGAACTGAAAGGATCTCCTTACCCAGAAACCCAAAGTATTATTATGTGCCCTCTGTAAGAGTTGGGGCTTATGGAGATCAAGTAACATAGACCCATCTAGTGGTCATTTTCCCAGGCCCCAGCCTTTGGCCTTCTGTCCTCATAGTGGGGGAGACCAGGTAAAAGCCTCTGAAACTGTCCCTTTCCTACCAACTCAAGATAATAAATCAAAACCAGTATTTCATCTAAGTGAATGAGGGTGGTAATGGTGAAGGTTTATGTTGCCACTAAAGACCTAAAGGATGCAGCTGTGGTCATCCTGTCATATCTCCATGTAATTTGCCATTCTGGCCCCTTCAGAAATCAGGGGAGTGTTCGATAATCTACTGTAGACCAGAACTAATCCTGTAGCAGCTCTGCTCACAGCCAGTGTGCCAACTCTCTGATCTGTCATAACACAGTCCACAAGGATCTGTACCACCTGGACATCCTAAAGGGTAGCACACCCATCTGTTACACTGATGTCATCATGCTAATCAGGTAGGATTAGCAGGAGGTGTCTAGTACACAGGAAGCCTTGGTAAGACACATGCACTTCAGAGGGTGGGAGATAAAATCATGAAGATTTAGGGAACTGCCACTTCAGTTTTCAGGGAACTAGTTGGTGGTCAGGGATCTGCCAGGATAATTCCTTCAAAGTGAAAGGCAAAGTACAAAACACAGATAAGCAAAAGATAAAAATTACTAATAAACCCTTTAAAAGTGATACCTAAAATTGTTCATAGTGTTTATATTCTTTAAGATGTATTTTCAGCCCTGGCTGGTGTGACTCAGTGGATTGAGTGCTGGCCTTCAAAATAAAGGGTCACCAGTTTGATTTCCAGTCAGGGCACATGCCTGGGTTGTAGGCCAGGTTCCCAGTAGAGGGCACACAAGGGGCAACCACACATTGATGTTTCTCTCCCCTTTTCTCCTTCCCTCCCCTTCTCTCTGAAGATAAATAAAATAAAAATTTTTAAAAAAACCCAAACATTATTACATTTAAAAAGATGTTTTTTTCATTGTTTATAGTATGTAAGTACAACTAATGTGGAATCATATCACTATCTTATATCTTTATTTATTTACTTGTTTACTAGCTTATCATTTGTCCTCACTGTGATATAAGCTCCATGAAAGTTGGATCTTTATCTTGTTCACTGCTGTATCATCTCTGACACCTCCAGTATAGTTGGTGTTCCATAAATATTTTTTGGTTGAATAAATGAAGCATACTATACACATTGCTTTTTATTTCACCATTTCCAGCAAACTTTCAGATGCTTCAGGTTATACTTAACCTTTCCCAAAATGTGCCTCTCCACAAGTCATGTGAAAGCAGAGTTCTCACACTCCCAACACTATTATCAGTGCACCTTCAGAAGTAAGAAACCTTAGTCTTTTCGAAGCCAAGTCTTTTTCCTTCCTGCAAGCACTCCTTAGAATCTATTACAGCGGACACAAGCTTGCCTGGATAGTTCTATATACCGTCCAGCTCAGCTAAGTTAGCTTCCAAGGACTCTGTCACCGAAGCTGTTCCCAGGCAAACAGCCCAGCCCACTGCCACGTCCCTCTTCCGGCCACACGGTGGCGATAGAGCGGCATAATTCACTAAGGCGCCCGGACCGTGGGTAGGACGTCTCAGAGCTAGGGCGTTGACTGCCCGGAGTGGGCGGAGAAAAAGGCGCCCTGACCCCAACAGAGGGCAGGAAGTGAGGGGGCGGGGCTTCTGGGATAGGGTGTGCGCTTGCGCACGGGTCATGTCAAAGGGGTCGTTCTCACTTTTGCGATTGCGGAGTCTGTCGTGGTGGCGTTGCTTTTGTTCCACCTTTCGGAGTTTGCCGGGCCCAGGGGTGGGAAATTGGAGGGGTGCTGGGGTGAGGAGCGGGTCCCGTGAGGACCCGGCGGGGTTGGGGTGGTGAGGGCTGGGTTGGGGGGCGGGGAAGAGCGAAGAGGCGCCCGCGGGGAGACTGGGAGAGCCGCACGTGTGGAGTCGGGGGAGAGGGGTGAGTAGAAGAGGAATGTTGGGGAAGAAAGCCTCGTTCTTACCCCTTCTTCCTCTCTTGGTGGGAAATGCAGAGACTCCTGGGTGCTGCTGTGGCACCGTAGAGTTGCAAATTGACAAGTGTTGTGTTTTCTGGGAAGACATCCTCCCTCGCCCCTCAGCCTTTCCTTCTCATTAGCGGCTCCTGTTTAAAAGTAGTGTTTCTTATTAACTCAGCGTTGTGTGCCTTACACCGACCCCTTCCTCTGTGGAAAACCGCTTCTAGGCCGCTGAGGGCACCCCTTTCTGTTTTACCTCCTCACTACCAAAGTTTTCCTGCTTACGCCCGTCAATGAAAACCAGAAAATTTCCTGTGTAAACCGTTCTAAATAAGCTTGTCTGCAACAATCAGGTTTTTTTTTCTATTTAAAATTACTTGCCTATGTAAAAATGGAGCAACAGTTTTATTGTGGCATGTGGTCCTCTGTGGGATTTTAGACCAAGGAGATGGAAAGACCTCATTTGGAATTCAGGGATTGATCAACGATAGTGACTCTGATAAATGCCACGTAAACCCTTCTTAAAAGGGTTTGGGTTCAGATCTGTCATTCCCAACCGTGGTGCAGGGGTGCAGTCTGACCTTTGGAAGCTTAAGAACTAAGTCTGTTGCCGTCCAATTTATTTTTTTAAAGCCTTCCATCATGTGTGTACTTTGCTTGAATGATTATTTTAAAGTACATGCCCTATTTTTGCCAATCTGACAGCTGTTTCCATAGAAACTAGAGAAGAAATAGTCATTTTCAGCAGAGTAGTTAAAACTGTCTTCCAGGCTTCAGCTGTGAGTGCCAGTGAGTGCTGTACTTGCTCATTCTGAGATGGTACTTAATTAAGGATCAGAAATGTTCTTAGAAGGTAACAATCCAAATTGTTTAATTTTCCCACATCATTAATTTAGTAATCCTACAAGTCTGCTAGCTATGTTTGTTGACCTTCAGTTCTTTGAAGTGAGTGTGTCAGCCCTGACTTTCTTACGCTCTGTGTAGTCTAGTGATGGGTTCTTTGGAAGTGGATGAATAGAGTTCTCCCCCATTCTTTACCTTTTCTTAAGGATAAACCAAGGATTATGAACTGTCAGGCACTATTTCTGTTCTAAGTGACACTCAATTGTCAGTGATGTAAATAATTTTTTTGCTTATATACATATAATATACCTTCTGTGTCAGTAGACTGCTTTTTAAAAATTTCACATAAATTGTGAGAGATGAGCAGGAGGAGTTTGCTTGGCATATGAGCAGAGCTAGGTGTGCATAGCCATAAAGAGGAGAGCTTTTCTTTTCTGAGAAGGGTAAGTTAGTGGGCCTGGACCTCAGGAGTGGGTGAAGGAGGGATGGGGAAGGTGCCGGGTGAAATACTGGGAGGCCTTATCTACCATATTGAAGGAGTTTATTGAAGCCAGTGGGGACCAAGCGAAATTACAAAAGTAGTTGCCTTTATTGGTTTGGAGGCTTAAAAAAGTAATAATAGATGCTGTAAATATTGAAACACAGAAATACGTAAGATGGAAATACTAAATCCCTGACAACCACCATCCTGTTACCCCAAATAGACACTATGAATAGTTTGGTGTATATTCCTTTAGTTGATTTCAGTGGGAGGGGAGGATAGGTCTGGTCCCACGTACTCCATGTTGACCCCGATCAGAAGTGCCAGGTTATATCTGGAAGGAATAACTTTTTATTTAAAAAATACATCTTGCAAGTTGGGGTTACAAGTGTTATGTGCTTCTTTCCTCCGCCAACCCTTGCTGCCAATTGATAAAATTTTACTACTGTTTTTATGTAATCCATTTCTTACTCCCTAGATAATTTGGTGTTAAAATAAAAATGAACTTCCCTCAACTAAATAGAAAAGGAAGAAAAAATTCAAGTTTTTAAAGTACATGTTGAAGAATAAGAAAAAACTAAGTATATTGCCCAAAGGCATTGCTGTAAGAGTGAGAAACCCCAGGGTAATTTAGTGTGAGTTGTGTTAAAGGGAGAACAGCTGATACACCTAGTTATGTTTCGAGTTTGGTAAGTAAGTATTTTCCAGGGATATTTATAGTTTGTTTTTTGTGTTCTAGATAATCAAGCAAAAGAAAGATGAACTTTGTCCATGGATTGCAGTATGCTACTAGAAACTGTTTTTTTTTCCGATTTAATTTACCGACCAACTGGAGAAAATGTAATGCACTAGCTGTAACCTCACTGGACTGTCATCAAGCACAAATTAACCATATAGTAAATAAGTGTCAGGGCCTCGGAGTAGATCAGAGAGATCAGTGTGATGGATTGACTTCTCTGCCTGGAAACTTTAATTTTTATAGCACTTTTAATAACAAAAGAACAGGATACCCCTCGAGGATCAAAAGGAAGGACATTTGGTTGATTACCCGAAAACATGCTGCATGGAGTGACTTCTTTTCAAGACAGAAACTGATAGAAGTTGCAGTAGTTCCTGCTCTTTCAGTATTGCGTCCTGTAAACTATTTTCCCACAAGAGAGATCAGGAGTTTCCACACTTCTCCACACGTTCAGGCTGCTCCCATTCCTCTCTTGTTGATAATTCTTAAACCAGTGCAGAAACTACTTGCAATCATTGTTGGCAGGTAAAATGCTTTTTTAAAGAGTAAACTTTTGTATTAAAGGATATGTGTAAAATTACACTGGGAAAGAAAATTTGGTAGATTTCCCTCCTGTACTTGGCTCAAAATTGAGTTTCTAAACAGTTTGATGCAGTTTTATTATGTAGGATTTAATGATCTTGAAATGATTTACTGTTTATTTAAAAAATGATTATATATTTTGTATAGATACTGTTTAAAATATTGACCTTATATATATGATTGCAAAAATAATCAGAAATGTTGATTATAACATGGATAAGAACAGTACTTTACAAACATTCCTTTTTTAGTGTATGGATTTTTAGGCAACAGATTATGGAACTACAGAATTGTGCTTATTTAAGAATGGGCTCTTCGGCAGGGAGGTTAGGGGGTGGAGGAATTGAGCAAAAGGGAACAAGGATTCAAACAACAGTGTGGTGATTGCTTGGGGGAGGGGATATATAAGGGGACCAAATGGTAATAGAAAAAATACAATTAAAAAAATGATCTCTTACACTTGAAACTAATACAAAATAATGTTGAATTTAAACTGTAATTGAAAAATAAAATTTGAAGTTCTTTTAAAAAATATAAAATAATAAAATGAAGGAGTTAAGGCGCACTCTGAGCCAAGTTAACTCTTAAAACATTAATGTTTATTTATTTATTTTTCTATTCTATTTTCAACAAGGCTTTATTTGCTCTTGATAGTCCCTTATAATAATTAATATTTTTTTACAGCTAAATAGTATTTTATATTTGTTTTATCCTCTCTCCATAATTAATCCTGTTTTATTTGCTTCATGGAAGATTGATGAAAGGTAAAGTTAAGCATTATCTCCTCATAAAGCTTTCTTATGTTTGATAGCAGTGAAGTCCCGTCTAGCCTTCTTCTTTACTTCCATACGAACCCAATGATTTTATTTTATTTTATTTATTTATTTATTTTTTTTTTTAAATTTTTTAAGATTTTATTTATTTTCAGAGAGGGAAGGGAGGGAGAAAGAGAGAGAGAGAGAAACATCAATGTGCGGTTGCTGGGGGCCTTGGCCTGCAACCCAGGCATGTGCCCTGACTGGGAATTGAACCTGTGATGCTTTGGTTCGCAGCCTATGCTCAATCCACTGAGCTACACCAGCAAGGGCAATTTTATTTTATTTTTATTTTTATCAAAATCACACTCTGTTACTGTGTTTTTTATGATTTGGCATTGGCATGCAGAAAATATACAGATAGGTTAGTTCTTGATTTAAGTAATGACTATCAAAGAAAACCAGAGCAAGACAATAATTACAGCAGTGAAAACAGCTCTTACTCAGGAGTATTGTAGTAGGAGAAAAGAGACCTCAATATAGAAGTGGAGTCAATTCTGAATACAGCATGGGTAAGCAGGAATTTGTAGCCAAGGCGCCAGGTGGGGTCGGTGGATGGAAAATTAGAGGAAGCGTCAGGAGTGAGGTGGGATTCTGCCTAAACAGACCTAATAAGAGTGTTGCTGAAGGCAGGTGAGGGGGATCAGGTATCACCTGGGGGCTGGTGAAGGATGAGGATCCAAGTTAGAAATCAAGGGTGATCAGGTAGGAGGATGGGGGATTCTGGCTAAACTGACTTAGCAAGGTTCTTGCTAACATTGGACAGTGCAGAGTCTGAAAGTCAAGACCTAGTTGAAAAATAGTTCAGGAGACATTGAGGAGAGTTTGCTGGGGGAAGAATCTTTGTCACAAATCAGTTCAGGTTCTTGGGCAAGTAGCTTTTTCTTTTTTCCCCTTTTTATTGAATTTATTGGGGGTAACACTGGTTAACTAAATCATACAGGTTTCAGGTACACAATTCTACAACACGTCATCTATACACTAACTATATTTTATGTTCACTACCCCAGGTGAGTCAAGTCTTCGGCCATCGCCATTTATTCCCCCATACCCTCTTCTGTCTTCCTCCATCCCCCACCCCCTGGCAATTACCACACTTCTCTGTGTTCTCTGTGTTCATGAGGTTTTTTTCCTTTTTTTCTCAGTGCTTGGATTCCCCCAATCTCCCCTCCCTCCTGACAGCTGTCAATCTGCTCTCTTCCCAAAACACTAATTCGAAAGAATAAATGCACCCTATGCCCACTGCAGCATTATTTACAGTCTCCAAGAGTTGGAAGCAGCCCAGATGCCCATCAGTAGATGAGTGGATAAAAAAGCTGTGGTACATTTACACAGTGGAACGCTACTTGGCCATAAAATAGAAGGAAATCTTACCCTTTGTGACAGCATGGATAGATCTGGAGAGTATTATGCTAAGTGAAATAAGCCAGTCAGAGAAATACAAATACCATATGATTTCACTCACATGTGGACTCTAATGAACAAAATAGTGACGGACTTGTAGAGAGCAGGCTGACAGCTGGGGGGTAGAGGCTGGATGGGAGGGGTTGGGGTGATTGAGCAAAAAAGAAAAATCCAGCAGATTTTTTATCATTCTTTTAAATTATTTACTTTTAATTTTTTTATTGTTGTTACTATTGTCATTCACCTAAAATATTCTTTTGGAGTATGTTTTATAAATTTAAATAGTAATAAGTCATAGGAAGTTTTAAATAGGAAATAAGTTCATAGGTTGTTTTAATCTTTGGAGGCATTTTAGTTGTGACAACAAAGTTAAGAAAAAGAAGTTATTTTTATTTTATAAAATAAATTTTGCCAAGACAATGATGTATGTTTTTCAGATTTTTTGTTGTGATTTTACAGATGAACTCGCAAGGGAAGATTTTTGTCCCAGTCTTGAAAACATTGCCTATTGTCAAAATGTCTCTGGATACAGCAGAGTATTGTTGCTTGGTAGATTAGAACTCCCCAAATGATATCTGTGAAGTCTCTCGTTTTCTTATTTTCTTTGCTTATGTTCTCCTTATTACCTCTCCTTTGTCATGTTGTACAGGGCATGGAGTTTCTGCTACTGAATGATACTTATTTCTAAAGTCAATGCTGAGGTAGTTTCCCTTGTACCTTGCTGAAGCACTGGCAGATTATGCTGGAAGTCTGATGAACAGTGGGGAGAATGGAAGTTTAGGGGGTAGATTTATTGTATCATAACTTCTCAGATGTTTATTTGGGCAATTCGTTGCCCCTGGAATTACATTGCCTTCATTGCTTCCTTTTCCTCTTTGTTTCTTATTTATTTATTTATTTATTTATTCATTTATTTATTTTTTTTCTCACCTGAGGACATTTATTGATTTTAGAGAGAGGGATAGGGAGGGAGGGAGAGAAACACAAATGTGCAAGAGAAACATCAATTGCTTGCCTCTTGCACACTCCCTGACTGGGGACCGAACCTACAAACTAGGTATGTGCACTGACTGGGAATGGAACCTGCAATCTTTCGTCTTGCAGGACCACCCTCCAACCAACTGAGCCAACTGGCCAGGGTGTTTGGTTTTCCTCTTATTACTCTATGACCTTGGACAAATTGCTTAACTTCTCTGTGTTCCCATTTCCCTTCGGTAATAGGGTTATTATGAAGATTAAATGAAATTACATATGTGTAATGACTAGAAGGGTACTTTACATGTGGCATACAGTCAGTAAATGTTAACCAGTGATAGCTGTAGTAAAACAGTTCCTCATTCAGTGTTTACCTTTGAGGTACCTGAAGAAAATTAGAATGAACGTTAGACTTTTTAACTATAGCTCTATATAGTTCATTTTTCATCATTTCACTAAGAATTTTATAGATTTTTGTTGAAGCCATCTATACAGACAAATATAAATTCAAGTATTTGAAGACATAAAATTATAGCATAAGTATTTAGTTTTGGTGATATGTGCTGATACTGTTATCAGAACTTTAAATTTTTCTTTTTGCTCTAGGGGCATAAGGAAATGGTGGCGTGCACTTCCTCCTAACAAGAAGGAGCTGTTTAAAGAAAGTGTCAGGAAGAATAAATGGAAATTATTCCTGGGTTTGAGTAGTTTTGGATTGCTCTTCGTAGTGTTTTACTTTACTCACCTGGAAGTGAGTCCAATCACAGGAAGGACCAAGCTACTACTATTGGGGAAAGAACATTTCAGTCTTTTGTCAGAACTGGAATGTCAAGCAGTAAGTAGTAAGAATTGTCTTTAATTAGGTTGCTTAATTTAATATTTAAAGCAAGAAAGGTTTTTTTTGCTAAGATTTTTTTTATTTGTTTCTCCTTTATTCCCCTCTGCCCTGCACCCACCCTCCCACCAGCATTCTCCCCCTACTTAGTTCATGTCCATGGGTCATACATATAAGTTCTTCGGCTTCTCCATTTCCTATACTATTCTTAACCTTCTCCTGTCTATTTTGTATCTACCATTTATGCTTCTTATTCCCTGTATTTTTTAACTTGACCTTATCTGGGAAGCACTTATCTGCCCTACCATTCTAAATGATAGCTTTGCTGGCTAGAGTAATCTTGGATGTAGGTCCTTGCCTTTGATGACTTCAAATACTTCTTCCCAGCCCCTTCTTTCCTGAAAGGTTTCTTTTGAGAAATCAGCTGATAGTCCTATGGGAACTCCTTTGTAGGTAACTGTCTCTTTTTGTCTTGCTGCTTTTAAGATTCTCTCCTTATCTTTAATCTTGGGTAACTTAATTATGATGTGCCTTGGTGGGTACTTCCTTGGGTCCAACTTCTTTGGGACTCTGAGCTTCCTGGACTTCCTGGAAGTCTATTTCCTTTGCCATATTAGGGAAGCTCTCCTTCATTATGTTTTCAAATAAATTTTCAATTTTTTGCTCTTCCTCTTCTCCTTCTGGCACCTCCATGATTTGGATGTTGGAATGTTTAAAGTTGTCCTGGAGGTTCCTAAGTGTCTCCTTATTTTTTGAATTCTTGTTTTTTCTGTTATGGTTGAATGCTTATTTCTTCTTTCTGCGCCACACCATTGGTTTGAGTTCGGGTTTCCTTGCCTTCACTGCTGGTTCCCTGTACATTTTTCTTTGTTTCACTTTTCATAGCCTTTACTTTTTCTTCTATTTTGCAACCATACTCAATCATTTCTGTGAGCATCCTAATTACCAGTGTTTTGAACTATGCGTCTGATAGATTGGCTATTTCTTCATCACTTAGTTGTATTATTTCTGTCTTGGCGCACCAAGAAAGTTTCTTAAATATGAAAGATGTACTACTTTTTTATTTTAGTCTTTGACAGGAAATTAGCATTTCCTCCCCCAAAAGGCTCTGACCTTTCATACTTAGTATTCCTACTGACTATATTTCTTTCCCTCGTTCACCCAGCTAACTCCTTTTTATCATATGTCAACTTAAATGCCACTTTTTCAGGAAATCCCTTGATTATCCAAACTGGGTTTGTCAGGGTAGCTACATTGGGCTCAGAGTGGGTATCCTTCATAACAACTGAATTATGAATCAGCTCCTTTGCAATTGTTCGCAGTGCTTGGCTATATATTGGGCTTACCTCTCCCACTTTGTTTTCTCTTTATGTACTGTACTTTTCCTTTAAAGCACTCATCACATGAGTAACATTTATTTGCCAATCTGTCTCCCTTGTTAGATTAAGTTCCATGGGGGCAGGAGACCCTGTCTGTTTTGTTTATGATTTTATATTGAGTACAGTGCACAAACTAGTGCTTAGTATGTATTCAGGTCTATAGTCTAAAGTTTTGGACTTTGAAAGTAAAGTGGAATAAGAGTGGTTTTTTTTTTTTGGTAACATCAATTTTGGCAATTTATTATATTTCTTGAATGCAAAATAAAGTTGGAATTTAGAAATCTTAACTCCTTAGACAATATAACTCAGGTAGTTAATCATTTGGTACCACTAGTAAGCTCCTTGAGGACAGATCATCATTTTTTTAAATTATATTTTATTGATTATGCTATTACAGTTGTCCTGATTTTGCCCCCTTTGCCCCCTGTCCCCTGCACTCCCTACTCCCTTAGGCAATCTCTCTACCATTGTTCACATCCATGTATCATGTGTATGAGTACTTTAGCTACAACCTTTCTGATACTGTACTTTATATCCCAATGACTGTTCTCTAACTACCTATTTATGTTTCTTAATCCTTTTACCTTACCCTTTTTCCCATAAACTCCCTCCCATCTATTTATCTTTAACCATTGGCATTTTAATTGTGATGTCTTGGAGCGGGCCTCTTTGTATTCATCATGCTTGGGACTCTATGCTTCCTGGACTTACATGTCTGTTTCCATCCCAATTGGGGAAGTTTTCTTTCATTATTTTTTCAAGTAGATTTCCAATTTTTTGCTTTTTCTCTTCTTCTGGCACCCCTATGAAGTTAATGTTAGACTGCTTGAAGTTGTCCCACAGGCTGTTTATCCTCATTTTTTTGGATTCTCTTTTCTCTTTCTTGTTCTGATTGGTTGTTTTTTGTTTCATTATGTTCCAAGTCATTGATCTGATTCTCAGCTTCATCTACTCTACTGTTGTTTCCCTCTGAATTTTTCTTTATTTCAACTAGTATCCTTAGTTTCTGATTGGATCTTTTTTATGCTGTTGATATCTTTACAGAGTTTCTTGAGCATCCTTGTAATCAGTGTTTCGAACTCTGCATCTGATAGATTGCTTATCTCCATTTCATTTAGCTCTTTTTCTGGAGTTTTGATCTGTTTTTTCATTTGGGCCTTGTTTCTTTGTCTCCTCATTTTGCAGCCTCCCTGTGTTTGTTTCTAAGTATTAGGTAGAACTTCTCTGACTCTGTGTCTTGGTAGTGTGGTCTAATGTAGTAGGTGTCCTGTAGGGTCCAGATGCACAGCCTCCCCTAACACCCTAGGTGGGTACTCGAGGTGTGCACTTAGGTGGGCTGAGTACACCCACCTCTTGTAGTTGAGCCTTGGTTACTGTTGGCAGGTCAATGGAAAGGATTTACCGAGGCCAGTCAGCTGCAAGGATTGGCTATAACCACTGACCACCAACCTCTACCCTCCATGGAGGGTCAGCTGTGCAGGGGCAGGGCGGTGGTGCTCTAACATGGTCTGTAGCTGTCCACTGGATGGCCTGGCCCTGGGGTTTCCTAGGTGGTGCAGACCAAGGTCAGCCTTCGCCCTGTGTTTTGCTTATGGTCATCCTGCATAAGCTTTAAAGTAATCTGAGATGGCTGCTATTTGTACTGGGCTTGGAGATTCCCAGGCAAAGCCAAGCTGTGAATCTAGGCTGGAGTTCCAGGCCTGAGGCTCATGGAGGCCAGCTGCTGTTTGTTTGAGAGGATTTTGGAAGTTGTAAAGCCTGAGCCAAGACCAGCCATTCATATGGAAAAGCAGCTTGGGTGGGCCTATAAGTTGGGTGGGGTAGAGTCTCTGGGGATATCCAGGGCGGAGAAAACAGGGTTAGGCAAGTTGATGGAATTTTAGATATAGTACCAGTCTGCCAGCTATGTGGGGGAGGGCCCAGAAAAGGCACAATGGCTTCTGCTCGCCTTGATGCCAGACACCTCAGCTTCCCCCTGCATACCACGAGTGCCCCTCAAGCTGCCACCCTAGCGCTGGAACCCAAAGGGAGTGAGTCTGAATAGGTGAGTCCATGTATGGGTTCTTTAAGAGGAACTACTTGGGGCTTCATCAGTTTCTTCCAGCAGCTCAATCCCTGCTGGGTTTTTCAGCCACAAGTTGTGGGGACTTATCTTCCCGGCACTGGAAGCCTGGGCTGAGGGGCCTGGTGTGGGGCTGGGACTCCTTACTCCCAAAATATCCCTTCTGAATTCTTATCCAGTACACATGGATATGGGACCAGCCCATTCTGCATCCGCACCCCTTCTACCTGTCTGGATGGGTGTAGTTTTTTTAATTCCGTAGTTGTCAGACTTCATTCAACTCGATTTCCATTGGTTCTGAGTGATGGTTGTTCTATAGCTTAGCTGTAATTTTGTTGAGGTTGTGAGAAGAGGTGAGCCATGTCTGCCTATGCTGCCATCTTGACCGGAAGTCCCAGATCATTTTCCTATCTTCAGTGCATTCCACATACATAGTATGTGATCAGTCAATGTCTTTTGAAGTCTCATAGCCTCACTTGATTGCTTTGTCAAGGTTAGATCTTTGTATCTTGTTCCAATTGAGTTTCCAAGTTTGTCAATGGAAAGTTCTCTTGAAAAAAAGAAATAACAGTGTTTTTTTTTCACTAGAACATCTATTAGAACATCCTTTCTAGTAGAACTTATACAGAAATTTATGTTTCTTAAAATACTGTCTAGTCAGAGGCAAATTTGAGGAAAGTGTTCTGGAAAGATTGAGATGAGCTAACTTCTACAACTCACATCACTAAGAAGCTTTAAAAATTATATATGTACACACATATATTCTCTTTTATTTCTTATTTTTAAACTACAAATGTAATATCTGCTTGATATGAAAATTCGAACATGTGTTCTTAACAGTGCTACTATAAAGTATTGTAATTATACTAGTAGTTTCCCTTTATTTGTGCTTTTACTTTCTTTGGTTTGTTACCCGTGACCAACTGTGGTCCAAAAATATTAAATGGAAAGTTCCATAGATAAACACTTCATAAGTTTTAAATTACCATATTTTGCTATGTGTACTTGTGCTCCTGTGTGTAATGCATGCCAACATTTTTGGCTAACACTTTCAGGAAAAAAACCTTCTGTTTTAATTTTTAATTCAATTATTTATCTATCTATCTATCTATTTATTTATGTTTAGATACTTGGTTTTTATATTATAAAGGGATTTTAGCATTTGTTTTTGAACATACCATGGTATAAGAAATTTTATGTAACAAATAATTACAAAACACAAGAACAGATACAAGGTATTTCAGTTACTACCCATGTATAATGCTTATCCTTATTTTTCCCTCAAAAATTTGGCCAAAAAAGTGCACATTATACACTGCAAAATATGGTACATGCCATTGTGAGTACCTCACTTCATGTCATTATGTAGGCATTGTATCATCTCACATCATTATAAGAAGAAGGATATTAGGAAGAAGTACAATATGCTGTTTTGAGAAAGACCACATTCACATAACTTTTATTGCTATTATAGTATTTGTTATATTTGTTTTATTTTGTTATTAGTTATTCTTAATCTCTTATTGTGCCTAATTTATGAAGTCAACTTTATTATAGGTTTATATTTGTAAAAAAAAACATAGTATGTATAGGGTTCAGTACTGTCTGCTGTTTCAGGCACCCACTGAAGGTGTTGGTACATATAGCTAACAGATAAGGGTGGGCTATTGTACATGTAATCTTGCTTGCCTTATTTATATCAGGAGGGTTAATGTAATAATGGATTTTTTTCAGACAGGTTACACTGGTGATTTAATGCTTTTTAAAAATGCTAATTGGTATAAAGACTTACAAATTCATAGTCTACAAAATCCCCCATTTTTAATCGTTTCAAGGAAGAAGCTTACAAATTTGTTGGTTCATGTGCCAAAGAAGAAATTATATATTGAATGGAAATTGAAGTAGTATTTTCAGAACATCCTTGTTTTCAGTACACTTGAAAGGGTCTTCCATGAATATTGTTTTAGAAAAGTTTTCTGTATGTGGTGGCTAGTCTTCATCAGCATAATATAGAGAAAATGATATGCCTCATGGTTCTGAAATTTCAGTAATTTCCTTTCACTCTTTGTGCATAAAACACGTAAAATTAATGAAATGTGTATTATCTTCTTGTAGAAGTTTAGCTTTCTTATTAAAGTATAGGGTGTTTTTCTATTCAGTGGATTATGAAAGTAATTTTCTTTTGTGTTTTACTTTCCTATATGAAATATTTATGCTCTCTAGGCAACATTTTGCTTTTCTAAAATGCTTAAGAAAATAGAAATAATATATAAACACTTTATTTATTTATATGTTAATAGAAAAGATGAATAAAATTTTTATTTGAACTAGTTTATATGAAAAAATCTTATTATAATTTACTTAATTTGTGAGAAACCACATTGCCTTTGCATGAATAATGCAAATTTGAGAAATTTGAGTGTTTAATATATGCAAGTATTTACATAACTAAAAACTAAAATGTTCAACAGTAAGTAACCATATAACTCTCATGAAGCAATATAAACATTTTGTAGAACTGAAGCTGTTTTAAAATGAAGACTAGCCCTGGCCAGTGTGGCTCAGTTGGTTGGAGCATTGCCCCATAAACCAGAAAGTTGCAGGTTCATTTCCTGGTTAGGGTATGTGTCTAGGTTGTGGGTTCAGTCCCTGGTTGGGGGCATGTAGGAGAGGCAACCAATCGATGTTTCTCTCTCACATCAATGCTTCTCTCCCTCTCCCCCTGTCTCTAAAATCAATAAGTATTTTCTGAGGTGAGGATAAAAATAAATGAATAAATAAATAAAGTAAAGACTGATTTTCTTTTTAATCTTTCAGTGGATGGAAGAATACAAAAATGATATGCTAACTGAGAATGATGCCCAGTACCTGACCATTAAAGAAGTGTTTTATCATTTGATTGAATGCAATAAAGATATTCCAGGGATCTCTGAGGTCAATTGGATTATTCATGTGGTTGATTCCCCCGATGTAAATGCCTTTGTGCTTCCAGTAAGTAAATGTTCTCAAACCTAATTTTTAATTGTTAAATTTCACATTCTTGTTTCTTATCATGTTCTAGCTGCTTACATTATTTTCTTGTATGGTGCAGAATGGACATGTGTTTGTCTTCACGGGGCTTATTAGTGTGTCGGATATTCATCAGCTTTCCTTCATTTTGGGCCATGAAATAGCACATGCAGTACTTGAGCACGCTGTAAGTACCTAAAGTGAACATTGAGTTGTCAGAATGTTGCAGTTAGCAAGTTAAATTTTTAAAGAGCTGAATCTTTTCAGTGTTCTTTTTTGCGGTGGAATTTTAGTTTTTAGTAATTGTCGTCTTCTGTTACCTGAAAAAAATATGATTGGCTAATTTTGGGAGTTTTTACTGTCTTTAGTATTTGATAATGAATAACTAGTGTTTCTCTTAAATACCATTTTTATCACCTGTCGCTTTTGCTAGGAAGTGATTATTCTCAACCTCTAATTATTTCAAATTAGATTTAAAATTTTCATAATTATTAATGTTCTTGTAATCTAGTCAGAAAATTAATTGTAGAAAACTGATATTACTGTTTAAATGGGTAAATCAGTTATCTTGGTTTTTCATTCTCTGAGGATAGCTTGGAGCATCTTTGAAAATGTCTAGAATGATATGCCATATATAATTAATGCAGAGTAATAAGAATGATACCTTGCCATTGTACAGTTTATTGAGCTTTTTAATACGTACCCCCCATTCATAATTTTAATAGTGTCCTCATGAGGTATGTATTTAATATCCCTATATTGTGTATGAGGAAACCAATGTTTAAAAAGGCTCTAAGTAACATGACTAATGTGACTAAATGGTGCAATCAAGGCTTTAACCCATCTCTACTTTTTGCAAGTCCAGCATTGCTTCCTTTTACCACAGTTACCTGTTGGTTAGAGCACTTTCTTAAAGACTATAGAATTCAGGTTGTTTTATACTTCTGTGAGAGCACATCTGTTTGTCTTGGTATGAGTCCATAAATGTAATATATTTGTTTACACATATTTTATTTTTACCCTTTAAAAAATATGCACGGTGCCCTGGCTGGCATGGCTCAGTTGGTTGGAGCATTGTGCTGCAAACCATAGGGTCCTGAGTTTGATTGCTGGTCAGTGCACAAGCCTAGGTTGCAAGTTCAGTTCCAGGTTTGGTTCCTGGTCAGGCACATATAGGAGGCAACCAGTCGATGTCTCTCTCTCCCCTTCCCTTCCCCTCTCTCTAAAGTCAGTAAACATATCCTCTGGTGTGGATTAAAAAAAAAAACATGCATGACTCTTTTTTATCCATTCATTTGTTGATGTACAGCACAGAGAATATAGTCAATAATACCGTAACTTTTCATGGTGACAGGTGGTTATACTAAGTATAGTGATCACATAGTAAAGTATATAAATGTTGAATCACTGTTGTGCATTTGAAACTAATGTAATATTGTATGCCAACTAAACTTTAATGAAAGATTTAAAATATATGCATGGCTCTTTTGTCCACATAATTAGAGACAGCTATATTTTCTTTAATTGAAAATATGAAGGTAAATAGTGAAAGGATTGTGAAATGTTCGATAGGAAATGCAAGTAATATTAACTTTAAATGGAAATGAAAATGTTAATTCCTCTAAAAATCATCTCAAATTCTATCTACTCCTTAGAGTATTAATAAGATGAGGTGGGCCAAAGTTGTGCTTTTCTGAAGCACAAATAGTAGAAATCTTCTTTATTTCTTCTGAGTTGTAGGAAAAATTTTAAAATACTTTCTTTAAACAAATATATACAAGAATAAATCTGAGCAGTTGAAATAGATTTTATCTTTCAAGAAATGGCTTCAGAACTGCAAAATCAATCAGTTTTGGCTATTTTTAGCATTTAGAGGGTGTTAATATTTAACACATTTGTTTTTCTGGCATCTTATTTAATGCTGCATTCAGCATATTGTTCTCTCTATCAGTGCAAGGACAATAATGAAATGCGGCATAAAAAGTAAATAGTAGCCTTAAAAATAGAAAATAGTTATTAATATTTCTTTGGCAGAGGTCTTAGAAATCAGCAGTGTGGTTCCTTTTTTAGCAGTCTCCATTTTGATTTGATGGAGCCTTTTATTTTGTTTTCTTTATTCCACAAATACACAGTGATTTTGCTGTATAATAGCAATTCTTCAGTAATAAGGATTTTTCTCTACTATAATGACTTCATCATTTGGAATTTTACTCTTTTATGCTAAAATAATTCCTTAATTGTTTTTCATGACCCACAGTTCTTATAATGAAGCAAAGAATGCTTTATAAGGGCAGATTGTATTATAAAGAGAAGTATTCCAGGTGGTTATTTCTGGTTGTCAGCTATGTCTCATACACTAAAGTAAGGATTCCTTTATTGTCAACATTAGCATTACACCAACATCTATAATTGACTTTAGTGGTGAACAATGAGCAATCCTGTGCATTAAACTTATATTTAGATATTATGACTAAAAATAACTCCTTTAAGTAAAACCATTTTCGATTATTGCTACAAGTAAATGCAGAAATTCATAGAACCCAATTTCCTGGTGAGAAATACTAGACTTATAAAATTGTAAACTTACAAAAAATGAATCATATATTAGGTTGTGATGGCCAAAAGATTTTTATTTAAAATAAGCTAATTTATTTCTGAATTGTTCCTTGTTTTAACTGCTTCATATGTTATGTAGTGTTTAGTCTCTGTCCAACAGTATGATAAAGACATTTATTTGATTTCTAAAAAGAATTAACAACTATTAGAAACTAAAACTTCCTGGGTTTGATTCCTTGTCCTTTTGCTAATAGCTATGTGAATTTGGGTAACTGTTTTAACCTATCTCCGTCTTAGTTTCTTTATCTGTAAAATAGAGATAATTGCACCTATTTTAAAAGATTACTATTCTCGTTAATATAAGAAACTGGGGATTAATGAACCTGTCTTTGGATCTGAGTGAGGGTAAGTGGTTCAGTAAATGTTAATTGAATGAATGAGTGAATATGTAAGTATGTAAGCAAATGACGAGACGAACAGATTGAGAAAAGATAAAGCATGCAGAAGAAAAAAACCTTATAATCTTTTAATCTAATGTTTGTGAAGGTCATTTAAACATAAGTAATTATTTAATGTGGTTACAGATGATAAACTAGAAAATGCATATACTGTCTCATTTAATTAAATGTAATATTCATTATTTTGATTATTCTCAGGCAGAAAAGGCCAGTGTGGTTCATTTATTGGATTTCCTAGGTCTGATTTTTCTCACAATGATTTGGGCCGTTTGTCCTCGAGATAGCTTGGCAATTTTGGGCCAGTGGTTACAGTCTAAATTGCAGGAGGTAAGTCTGAGACAATAACTTGAATTTGTAATGGCCAATGGTGAAGATATTTTAATAGTACCGTAAAGCAACAAATGCCAGCAGTGTTTTCACATATTATCATGAAACATGGGTACTAATTTAGCAATCTATGTTTTTGCATTTTCAGGGGATATTCTTAATAAAGAGTATTCAAATTTGAAAGGATTGCATCTCTTTAATGATGGAGATAGATGGGTTAGTAGGGCTTAGCAACTCTTGGCTAACACAATTGTGTTATCTTTTGGCATAGTGACGGTTCTCACAGTGACAACCCAGTCACAAACCCTTCCTTCTGTCACTTTTCCTTCAAACTTTCCACTTCTGTTTCTTACATTGACTGTGGTGTACTTACTGGATGACTCTCCACTCCCCCAGATATTTGCGTTTTGATGGGGAACTCTTAAAACCTGTAAACTTTTATGGGTACAAGGTTGGCTGAGCTACTTTACCACCCTCACCTCCTCACTCCTAGCTAAACTAACATTGCCTAGGCAATATTGAAAGGACAGTCTTACTGGGTGTTTGTTGACTTTTGTTCTTTGTGCTTATGTGTAATGATAATCATTTCATTAAACGTATTCTCTCATTTTGTTCAAAACACTGCACTACTGAAAGTAGATTCTGCACTCTTGATAATTGCTTTGTTAACTGTGATTAATTATTTTATTTTATATCTTTTTTCAAATATTTTGTCTTGTCCTGGGAGATTTAGTTATTTAGGAACAATCTGTTATTTGTTTATTTAATGATTTGTGGAGCACCCATCAGGGTGCCATCTGGGTGCTGTTTAAATCTAATGTGTAAAATTCTTGGAGACAAATTTGCTTTTGAAATTAGATAACTAAGTCTTTTCTTCATTGTTGCCATATCATTTGGCTTCATTTATTTAAATAAATGTTCTTAAAAGGAAAAAGAAGAAATGATTATTGCTTAGGTTATAGGATCTCATATTTTGAATTTTATTTCTGTTACGGTGTGCTGGGAAGTCAAAGGAGTTAATGTAGTTTTTTCTCTATCAATAGATAGCTTTTCCTGTAATGGAATCCGAAGACTTGGTCATAAGAAAAATAAATTTTAGCTGTTTTTCTTTTGAAATACTTGATAAATCATGCTATTTTGGTATAAACCTTTAACTTAATAACTAAATTGAAAATAAAGTAGGTATTATTTCTCTTTTTCCCTAAGTCAAGTGTCCTCCCTAAATTTTGGTGAATTTGGGCAACTGTTTTAACTTGTCTCCATCTTAGTTTCTTTAGCTATAAAATACCAGCAGAAGTAAGGCCTGCTTGAGTGTGGTTGGTAGGATAATGATATGGGTGTAATAATTTATAAGTTTAATTTGAACATTTCACCTAAAGTGTCATATAGTGTGCTTCAGTGTGATATTGTTATGTTACAGAATTACATGCTTATGATTTTGTAATAAAGAGGGGCATTATTTGTGCTGGACTCTGTAGTTAAAGTCTTGCTTATTATGATAAGAGGGTGGAGGGGAGGGCGTAGAGTGAAGTCTTTAAGGAAGGGGATGTGCAGACATTTATCAGCCAGAGAAAGGAAGAGAAGAAGAAAGAAGTAGGGGCCCTCACTTAACCATTGGGGAACCCTATTTTTGTAATCTTAAAGATCTGGGTATAATGTAGCAGGCCTCATAGAACACTACCAGGCAGGGCTTTGAGAGCTATTCATAATAAATAATTATAGTAGCTAACATTTATGGAGTGCTTACCCTATGTTAGACACTAGGATAAACAACATATCATGGATTAATCATGTGTAGGTGTTAATGGGACAAGCTCTGATCAGATGGGCCTGTGTTTGAATTTAGACTCTTTAGGCATAAACTCTATAGGACCTGGGCAGGTTACTTCACTTATATGGATCTCAGTTTCTTCATTGTGATTTGAGATAATATACTGACTAACTCAAAGCATTGTTCTGGAATGAAGGATAAATTTAAAGCAGGGGTTCTCACTGTAAGCACTATTGCTATTTTGGACTGGATAATTCTTTATGGAGAGTTGGTTTGTGCATTGCAGGATGTATATATAATAGACTCTAACCATCTAGCTGACTCCAAACAGCATTCTTCCTTCCCACTGTGTTCCATCAGACAATCAAAACTGTATCCAAATACTCATATTTCCAAATGTCTCCAGGAGACATAGTCACATCCCTTTGAGAACCACGGATTTAAAGCATTTAGCACAGTACCTGGCACAAAGTAAGGACTCAGTAAATAGGAGCTATTATTATTGTTTGTTTATTTTATTCTCTCTGCAATATGTGGTGCTATTGGGCTTAGATATTTTAAATATTGGGTCGGCCCAACAGTTCGTTTTTTGTTTACGATGGCTCTGATAGCTCTTAGTTGTCTTTAACTTCATTCAAAACAATTTTGTTAGGTTGCATTGTGACAGCTGTCATATCAGTGTGCATTTAAAAAAACATCAGAATTGGTGAATATTTGTGTAGCCATTTTAATATTGAAGTTGGGAGAAAATACACAATATTTTCAGTAAATTATGCTTTATTATTTCAAGAAAGGTAAAAACAGCTGTAATGCAAAAAAGATTTGTGCAGTGTATGGAGAAGGTGCTGTGACTGATCAAATGTGTCATAGGTGGTTTGTGAAGTTTCTTGCTGGACGATGATCCATGGTCGGGTAGACCAGTTGAAGTTGGTAGCGATCAAATAGAGACATTAATTGAGAACAATCAACATTATTATGCAGGGGATAGCTGACATACTCAGAATATCCGAATTAATAAAGTTATTGGTGAGAAAGAAAAGTATGACTTCTATTTTAAAAACAAAGGAATTTTTTTGCCAACCCAATGATTAGCCCAGGGTGAACAGTTAGAATGTGTCAGCGTTTGGACTGGAATGAATGTAAGTCTCCTTTGAAAGCCAATGTGTTAAATTAGTTATAATCAGCATTATCAGTAGACTGGATGGGACACCTGTAGATGAGTTATGGAGAGTGAAGACACTGTGTAATAGTTCAGCAACCTAAAATTATTGGAGGAAGAAAGTTATATTTAATGGTCATGTGCTGTCGATCAGATTGATCACATTTCTAGCTATCACTGACATGTACCTTTGAAAAATTGCTTCCCCAATTAATAGCTCTTTTCTCAAAAGTGCTGCCTATTGATCCATTGCCTACAAAGTTTTAGTACTTACTGAAAATTAGAATTTAACTGGAAAGCAGTCACATAAATATAAGTAATTAGAAAAATTAAAGTTACCATATCTATTTGCATTTTAAAATTTAGGTTGGGAGTAAATTTCATTTTCCTAACTAATCAATACTCAGAAGAAAAGGAAATTAAGATGGTTTATCAAAGAATGAACATTCTGCTCTATGGTTAATTTTCCAATTAAAATAAATTCTATAGTAGTGTCACTGGCTATTATGTAGCTATATTTTTTCAGTTTTCTTTTGAAACTGAAGATCAAATGTTCCTTAGCCATAATAAAAGACTGCATCAATAAGCTTTCTTACAGAATCTTCTACATAGTAGGTAGAGATTATAAATGGAAAAATAAAAGTACTCTATATGGTACCAATAGACTCTCCAGAAGTTTGTAGGCATGATTTTATTTATTCTTGCTGTATTTAAAGAATATTCATCTCTGGTGGAGGAAATAAAGGCTGCACCGTATGTCTTATACCATGGTATTCTTTAAATGTCAATATTGGAGATTTTAAAAACTTTAGATACTCCATGAAATTAATTTTAGAAACTTCATTTTGTTGTGAAATAACCTTAATGGAGCTTTTTTTCTGTTTCTTTTTAGTATTTGTTCAGTAGACCATATAGTAGAACATTGGAGGCTGAGGCGGACAAAATTGGACTACACATTGCTGCAAAGGTAACATATTCAGTAGCTGAGAATACACAGTGTCCTTCACACAGTGAAAGATACATGTGCATTGTCTTAATGAAGTTTGGCATGGACAGAGAATAAGAGTTGGATTGTATACAGTTTTTCATTAATATCATTTTAAATCTGTGCCCTCTGGAAGCTAATGCTCTCCTTATTTTACTCCTCTCCCTTGTTTTGTGGATCTAAGGAGGCTTTTTGAGTAAATAGGATGATATGTAACTGTTTCTCCAGACTGGGAGAAAGGTTTATCATATTGTAGATGTGATCCCGGATGAGCAAACTGAGGTTTTACCATTAAAATAAAGGGTAGAGCAGCAGGCTTATTTAGAGCTCTGTATCTTTCAGGTTATTTTTGTTACAGCAGATGGCTTGCTTGTTTTTGGTAGCCACAGAGAGCAGCTCTAGGTGTTCGCCCTGAGTTAAGTTAGCTTTCTTCATGTCTACTTGACATGGCACTTTACGCCTGGTTGCTATTTTTAATCACCTGTGAAAATTGAGGGTTATTAGTTGTAGGATTTAACATTAGAAGGAAAATTGGATTTTTAAAAAATGAGTAAAAACAGTGCCACTTCACATATTAAATTCAAATTGTATTTAATTCTTTGTTGAATTTTCAGTAGTTATTAAAAAGTCCTAACTGTTAAAAAATCACTGTGATATGAACTTCTCATTATGAGTTTTATGGGTTTAATTTCGTAAGTCAAGATATTACTCACAAAATCACAAGCAGTTTTTTGAATGTTAACATGAGTAGAATAAGTAAATTATTAGATTGCGTAGATGAAGAGGTTCCTAGATAATGGCCCTCAGACTGGCTGTACCATGACTTTCCTCACACCAGTGTCCCACAGCTCATGAAGTTTTTCCTTGGGGGTGTGTTCTGGTTAGGAAATCTTTGCCTAGCTCAGTAAATTCTTTCTGTTTTATTTCCAAGAAGCTTTATAAGCTTTATTGTGTGTGTGTGTGTGTGTGTGTGTGTGTGTGTGTGTGTGTAAAATGAGGAATCGGTCAAGGTAATTTTTTTCCCATGTGGATATCTAATGAACTCAGCACTGTTTATTAAAGTTATTTTTTTCTCCACTACACTCAGTGTCTCTATTATAAGTTTTAGAGGCTCTGTGGAATTTTGTTTCTGGTCTCCCTATTTCTATAGTGGCCTTTTATTTACTTTTGAGCCAATGTGATATCATCATTGTAGCCTAGTAATAAGTCTTGATGTCTAAGAATTTCTGTAATAGGTAGCTCAAGAATCTGTAGATGCCATGGTGAACTGGCATAAAGAATTGCCTCCACCTCTCTTATCTTTCAAATCTTGCCTTGTCAAATTTAGCTGCTTTCTCAAGGTAACTTGGCAGGTTTTGGCTTTCTAGCTCTGTTAAACCGCCAGAAGCTCTCCTTGGTCACCTCTTTCTGCTCAGATTTCTTTTGAGCTCTGCTCATATTCTGAGTCTCTTGCTGTTCACTGCTTAACATTTAATAAACCCAGTGATTCCAATTCTGGAGTTTTGTCCAAAGAAACACAGAACACTAACTTGAACGAATATATGCACCCCTATGGTCTTTGCAGCATTATTTACAATAGCTAAGGTATGGGAGCAACATAAGTGCCCATCAGTAGACGAGTGGATAAAAAAGCTGTGGTACATATGCGATGGAAGATTACTCAGCCATAAAAAAGAGTGAAATTTTACTATTTGCAATAGCACAGATGGACCTAGAGGGTATTATGCTTAGCAAAATAAGTCAGTCAGAGAAAGACAAATACCATATGATTTCACTTACATGAGGAATCTAAAGAACAAAATACATGAACAGGCAAATTCGAAACAGACTCACATAGATACAACTGGTGGTTGCCAGAGGGGTGGGGGTTGGGGAGCTGGGTAAAAGAGGTGAAGGGACTAAGAAGCACAAATTGCTAGGTATAAAATAGTCACAGGAAAGTAAGTAAAGCATAGGAAATATAGTCAATAATATTGTGATAGCTATGTGTGGTGCCAGTTGGGGTACTGAAAATATCGAGGGGAACACTATGTAAAGTTTATGATTGCCTAACCACTAAGCTGTACATAATAAAAAAGAAATGACAGATTTGCTGAGCAGAAGAGTGGCACACGGAAGGTCAGACTCACCTCAGTGAGCTTTCCTTCTTTCTGGAATTTTGACTTCTCTAGTCTTGCCTAAGTTGGCAACTCTTCATTACTATTGAACATATATTATTTAGATTATATCCAGATTTTCTACATTGTTTTATAGGCACATTGTTCTGCCATAAGCTATTCACTCCAACACTGCTAGAAGAGGAAGTTTCTAACTTAGTTGTTTTAATTGCTACCTAATCTTCTATAATATGGCTAATTCATTTAATTATGTACCTATTAACTAACATTTTTTTAAAAAATTTTATTTATTTTTAGACAGAGAGGGAGAGAAACATCAGTGTGGGGTTGCCTCTCACACACCCTGCACTGGGGACCTGGCCTGCAACCCAGGCATGTGCCCTGACTGGGAATCGAACCTGCAACCCTTTGGTTCACAGGCCGGTGCTCAGTCCACTGAGCCACGCCAGGAGGGTAACATTTGAGTTGTTTTAAAATTTTTTATTATAGTAATTCTGAAATAGGCATCTTTATCTATGTAGTTTCATGCTTCTTGGGCTTTTATAGCTATAGAGGAGATTGCTGACATTTTTATTTTTATTTTTAAAAGATAGAACTCTCAATTATTCCAAGATGTTGATAGCAAGTCTTTCCAATGACATATCAGAATACCCCCCCTTTTATACCTACATTAGCATGATTTTAAGTCTCTTTAATTTTTATTAATTTGGGACTTCCGGCCAAGATGGAGGCATAGGTAGACACATTGTACCTCCTCGTACAACCAAAATAAGGACAACAAAAATTTAGAAACAAAAAAATAACCACTACTGATGGAAAATTGAACTGTATGGAAGTCTGACGACCAAGGAGCTAAAGAAGATACATCCATCCAGACCGGTAGGAGGGGTGGAGATGGGCGGCTGGCAGAGAGGGCTCGAGGCAAAAAAAGCAGTTGCTGGGAGGCCCCAGGCATGGGGTGGCAGTGGGCGGACCCAGCAAAGCGTCAGATTGTGGAGGGGCGAGGCGCGCAAGGCGGCTGGTAGACCTTCCAGTCCCAATATTCACATGCAGATAAACCAGGTGAAACTGGGGAGGAAGACAGACCATGCAACCCAGGGCTCCAGTTCGGGGAAATAAAGCCTCAAAACACTGATTGAAAACACCTGTAGGGTTGAGGTGCCAGGAGAGACTCCCACCCTCACAGGAAAGTTCATTGGAGAGACCCACAGGGTCCTAGAACATACACAAACCCACCTACACAGGAATCAACACCAGAAAGGCCCAGTTTGCTTGGGGGAAGCGGCAGAAGGGACTGAAATCCAACAGAGAGTGGAGCAAGTGCCATTGTTCCCTCTCTGACCCCTGCCCCACATACAGCGTCACACCCCAGCAACTGGGGTGCCCCTCCCTAGTGAACACCTAAGGCTCCGCCCCCCACTACATAACAGGCACATCAAGACAAAAAAAAAATGGCCTAAACAAAAGAACAGATCAAAGCTCTGGGACAAATAGGACTAAGCAATGAAGAGATAGCCACCTATCAGATGCACAGTTCAAAGCACTGGTGATCAGGATGCTCACAGAATTGGTTGAATTTGGTTGCAAATTGGATGAACAAATGAAGGCTATGCTAAGTGAAATAAAGGAAAATGTACAGGGAACCAATAGTGATGAGAAGGAAAGTGGGCCTAAAATAATGGAGTAGACCAGAAGGAAGAAAGAAACATCCAATCAGAAAAGAATGAAGAAATAAGAACTCAAAAAAAATGAGAGGCTTAGGAACCTGCAGGACATCTTTAAATGTTCCGACATCTGAATTATAGGGGTACCGGAAGAGGAAGAGCAACAAGTGGAAAAGTTATTTGAACAAATTATAAAGGAGAACTTCCCCAATCTGACAAAGGAAATAGACTTCCAGGAAGTCCAGGAAGCTCAGAGGGTCCCAAAGAAGTTGGACCCAAGGAGGAACACACCAAGGCACATCATAATTACCTTAGCCAAGATTAAAGATAAGGACAGAATCCTAGGAGCAGCAATAGATAAGGAGACAATAACCTACAAAGGAGTTCCCATCAGAATGTCAGCTGATTTCTCAAAAGACACCTTGCAGGCAAGAAGAGTCTGGAAAGAAGTATTCAAAGTCATGAAAGGCAAGGACCTACATCCAAGATTGCTCTATCCAGCTAAGCTTCATTTAGAATGGAAGGGCAGATAAAGTGCTTCTCAGATAAGGTCAAGTTAAAGTAGTTCATCATCACCAAGCCCTTATTTTATGAAATGTTAAAGGGATTTATCTAAGAAAAAGAAGATAAAAAACATGTATAGTAAATGACAGCAAAGTCACAATTATTAAAACCACACCTAAAACAAAAACAAAAACAAACTAAGCAAACAACTAGAACAGGAACAGAATCACAGAAATGGAGATCACATGGAGGGTTAGCAACAGGGAAGTGGGAGGAGGAGAGAAGGGGAAAAGGTGCAGAGAATAAGTAGCATAGATGGTAGGCAGAAAATAGGGGGAGGGCAAGAATAGTATGGGAAATGTAGAAGCTAAAGAACTTATGACACATGGACATGAACTAGGTGGGGAATGTGGGTGGAAGAGGGTGTGCAGGGTGGAGGGGAATGAAAGGAAAATAGGACAACTGTAATAGCATAATCAATAAAATATACTGAAATAATTTTATATTAATTTGGACAAAAATGGAATCTCTTTGCTTTTAAATATTTGCTTAGTTGTTTCTTGTCTAGTAAAATTGAGGATATTGTTTCGTTTTTATCGGTTATTTTATTGCTTCTTTTATAGATTGCCTTTATTATGCTTTTGCTGGGTAGATTTTTAAAAAATGCATATTCTAGGCTTCACACTTGGAAATTCTG